GGCTTCAAACCGCTTCTCCTCCGAACCCCGATCTCGCCTCCCCGCACAACGCACACCATCCACGTGGAGCGCAGTTCGGGCAGAGACACTCAGGGGAACAGTGCGACAAGTCATCCCAAGTTCTGACCACGGCGTGCATCAGGCAGACCTGTGTTCCCTACCATGACGCTCTTCCATGCGTTAAGGGTCTGCACGATTGGCCGCCTCGAAGGATCGCATACATAGCCACGTACATACCACTAACTTAAGTCCGTGTAGAACCAGTAACACCACCCTTTTCCTCTCTCGACTCCAGCAGCATCAACCTTGAAACATTTTGATGATCGCAGGTGGATTGTCGCCGAGGAGCTTTCGTCGGGGCGATTGGGGCTCGCAAGAGGGTGTATATCTCCCATCAGCGGATGACATGCCGTTGCCGTTGATCTGCGCTATCTGCACGATGAATGCTTGTCTGAACCCGAATCAAGACCGACCTTACAGCGGGTATGCAGTGAGCCGTCCACCCTGAAGGCTATGCGATTCCGTCTTCCATATCTCATGGACATCGAATGCTATCTCTAGTCATAGATAACGATGACAGACTACCGGACTAGTTGGCCGCCGTTTCGACGTTGCAGGCAGAACCGTTGACTGTTGTCAAGTCATCCGCACAGACCTGCGGACAACTGGACGTGACCACGACCTTCAAGAGCTCGGATGTAAGCCTCGTGGAGATGACCCTGTGAGACATGGATGATTCTCCCAGAGACGGGACAAGGGTCGTCCCAGATTCTCAGCTGCACTCATGTAGATCATCCACGGCCTACCATACTGTCGGTCCGTACTCAAAGGGAGGCTGGTATGCTCAGGAAGTCATCACATTCCCTCTCAGAACTCATAAGAGATGAGGCCCGCTGTACTCCAGTCTTCCCTCCATTTTGACCTCCAGTCCCTCTTTCTATACAACTTCCACTGCGGCCCCCGTTGGTAGCTGCGTGAGCATCAGGCCGGAGCGCATTATTCGATACAAGCAATGGCCACCGTTACGCCCGCCGACATAGCCTCATGGCCTGCGCCCAATTATGATCACCCGCATACCCGTATTCCTATACTGGCGGGGTTGGAAATTCCGTTCGCGATTATCATGACGGCTTTTGTGGCGACCAGGTTCTACGGACGAGCGTGTATCACCAAGATTCTAGGGGCGGATGATTGGGTTATGTTGGCGGCGTGGGTAAGTTGGACGAATTTCGATCAAATGAGCAAGGAGCTAATCTGTTGTCATAACTTTCCCAGGCTTTCACCCTCTCTCAATCACTGAACAATCTGGCTGGTATACCATACGGAAACGCCCGTCATCTCTGGGACGTCCGACCAGAGACCGTTCCCACCGCCATGAAGGTAAGCTCGAAGCACCAACCCTCTTTTTATCGCCACAATGCCCCAACTCTAACATGACTACTCCAGTTGGCCCTCGTCGCTCAAGCTCTCTTTCCTCCAGCCGCCGCCCTTACCAAAATTTCCGTCTGCATGACCTACCTCCGCATCTTCCCTTCCAAACTCAACCGCTACTTCTGCTACGTCGCCATCGGCTACGAAGTCTGCTGGGGTATCGCCTCCTTCTTCGGCGGCATCTTCATGTGCATTCCCGTCTCTACTTACTGGGACGTCACATCCCCACACGGTAGCTGCATCGACGAAAAAGCCTTCCTCATGGCCACTGCCGCACTCAACAACGTCTCCGACTTTTTGATCTTCCTGTGGCCTGCGCGGTTTCTGTGGCAGGTGCAATTGCCGACGAAGCAGAGACTTGGTCTCATTGCCATGTTTGCGATGGGAAGTCTTGTTTGCATCGCCGGCGTGTGTCGGATCTGGTACTTTACGGTTTACTTCGCGAGCTACGATGCGTTCTGGGAGGGCTCGATCATCTACTCGATCTTGGCGGTTGAGACCGATCTGGGTGTTATATTTGGGTGTCTCCCGGGCTGCAAGCCTGTTGTCGCGGCGTGCTTCCCTGTTGTCTTCGGCACGTCGGGGACGGGGGGAGGTTTCGGGGGTAACTCGTCGGCGAGACCGGATCGAGAGGGTAACAGGACGTTTGGCTCGATGACGGTGGGGTCGTCGGGCGACGGGAAGAACGGGAAGTGCAAGACGCGAACGGTGGAGCTGTCGGAGTTTCGCCCCATTGAAGATGAGGAGGAGCTGGTGGGGCTAAAGGGCAGCATGATGGGGGATCATGTTATCAAGCAGGAAAGGGAGTTTAAAGTGGAGGTCGTGCAGGGGACGAGAGGTTTGGAGATGGGAGGGTGTAGGACGGAGGTTTGCACGACGCCGTCAAGTAGTGGGAGTGGGAAGAGTTCGTACGAGGGAAGGCAGAGTTGGGCCCAGGAGAGGGATCGGAGGATGGCGAGGAGGGAGACGAACATCTATTCGTTTGCGTAATAGGGGGCGTCGGGCTAAGAGTGAAAGGGGTTTTGAGCATTTCTCATGGCGTTTCAATGATACCACTACGTACACACATCTATATCTCTAATACACTCACGACATCGAAGACTTAGTTTTCTACAAAGCATACGGGATATCAAGCCTGAATTCTCCGAGACAAGCACGTTGTTTCTTGCCCGGCTGACGCTGGAATATGAGGATATAAGCTTCCCCTTCTACTAAGACCCGTTCCACAATCGAGAACTCACTATAACTATTACACGGCTGTAAATAAACCGGTTCGAGCCAGGAAGAGAAACATTCCCTCTACGTCAGTCAAATTTCTCAAGCTGCAGGAATTCCGAGTGTATATCATGGTCTTACTGTTATTCAAGGCTCCGGTACAATGACGTCTTTCGGCACAGCACGTTTCTTAAGATCATCATCACAATCAGATTACCTTACAGTATCATGGAAAGGATCTGTCGCAGTCCATAAGGGCACAATCAAGAAAAACAAGCAGACTTGTAAAGTAGTCGAAAACCTAGTTTTGCTGTTACGAGATAATTTGAAGCGCCTAGGATTTTGCAGTACGATGTTACTTACCTGCTTAGCGTTGCAGGATTATGTTGGAGTAGAAAAGTTGATTGATTGAGGAGGGGAGTGAAGCTCCACTGTCAGGTATATCTACCTACGACGCTAGTTGAATGAGGGAGTAGCGATACGCCAGAAAACAGTAACAACAGCCTTGACAACAAACGATCGATTAACCGTACTCCAAGCGACGCGGTTAGTAGCTTCCCTTCAACAGATTATAATAATGGACAACATCATTATATTTGCATCTAGCTACTACCTACATAACGAGCGTAAGTATTCTGTGGCCACATACATAACATACTCTGTAAAGTCTAGATATGCAACCAATATGCTATACTCCGCGCGATATAGATCAACGTCCTTGAAAATTAGTATAGGGTTCTACGTTAACTAGTACCCTAGATAGTAAAGTGTGGGTAAGAAAACGTATGCGTAGAGTGCTTTCTTATATCTGCGTTAGCGTTGTAGAATAGAGTAGATGATAGATACAAATCAGGTAAGTTAGTTAAGCTCATTTTCACACTAAAATTATTCAGTGTCTTGGATTGATGTCAATAATGGCTATTATTACTACCGGTACCTATCTTCTTGAATTCTTGCAGATTTGCAACTAGGTAGGCTTCGCACTAATAGTTGTTCATCATGTTGATAGCCGTTTCAGATCAGAGACATAGTAGTAGCGATTTGATAATTGTTGGAGATACGCGGCTGGCCGGGTCTTTTATATCCTTGCAGAGCTAGAGATGCTCGAGCAGCTACAGCGCCTGGATTTAGTAATCGAATTCCATGCTACGCTGTTGAGCTTTTTTGACGTAATGTTAATGACGAGATTCCACATCAACCTCAAGAGTGTTTCGCAACCGCTGCCCAGAGGAGAGTCGAGTCATAGGAAAATCATGTCAGGCAGCGGATTTCCTTAGCAAAACATGCCGTATAAGCCCAACAATATCACAGCTGTAGGGGCAGAAGGTGCAAATAAGGAAATAGATTTGCAGAGAGGTTTTATGCCTACGTTTGTCGAGATAGAGCCTGGAGTATAGACAATCGTGTAGAGATGGCTTAGTTGAGCTTGTAAGATTATGACGAAAATGATCGCAATACGAAATTGTCTTAGTAGCGGTCTTATTCAATTTGTTTGATCCCGCAATAAAATCGAGATCTTTTGAGGATTTATACCTAAATTTACTTGTAGTAAGTCTGATCGCGAAGAACAGATCAGGAGCATAGAAGACAGAAACACGGAGAATACCCGGCGAGCTCGGCTCGAGAAATGAGACAGTTTTGCGCGATTCTCGCTCTGCAAGTATGTAGAAGCCATTGGATCTAATCGTTGTCGACGGTAGATGCCAAGGGAAAATACAGCTGGGCAAAGTGTTCGATATAGGTAAGAAGAGAAGAGAAATAAAGACTGCACATGTATCTCACAAGAACAGCGCTAGTATTTCCGCAACAGTAGAGCCCATTTGCCGCCTTATTCGCATGATCGAGCGAAGTCCCGGTCGGCATATTTAAGGCGCGAAAATGAACACGAAAACGAATATCGACGAGACTAGATCCCGAGCATAATGTATACTAGGTGGACCTACTACGTAGTCTCAAGAGCTTGTAGCGAGCTAGCTCCGCTCCGACGACTTGTCGCAGGAGATTCAGCCGAGTTACAAGTCGCGTGAGTCCATCTTGGAAACGAGCGATGTAAGACGGAGCTGCGACTTAATTCGGCGCAAGAGAACGGAGATGAGAGAATCGAAAGGTTATAGGGCATCAATACCTCAAGGCGTAAGTAATACGCAAACAGCTTCATTGAGAAGAGATCTTTGCGTGCAAGAGTGGGTAGTGTTCCAAGGTTCGTTGCGGCGAAAGGTGTTAAACGCCCAAGAGCCCCGCGGAACTTTAAGCGAGGAAAACTCAAATTATGACGGAATATATTGCAGCAAACCAGAATTCAATTCAACAACCAATAGGAATCAACAATTCCAAGTTTGGTATCAGCCTCAACATCCCTGGTGGCGCAATTGGCTAGCGCGTCCGACTGTTAATGCTTGCTATCGGGAGGTTCACAGTTCAAGCCTGTGCCGGGGAGTTTCTTTTTGCCACTTTTCCCTTCCCCACTTTCACTTTCTGTTTCCCTTCAGCGAGGCTCTTTTGTCATGGCAGGCTACTGACAAGCTGTGCTGTTGGATTGTAAATCTTTTTAGATACGTTGTTATGGCCAGAAAAATACGCTAGGAAGCAGGTTGATGGCGAGCAACCGAGTATTGAATTGATGGGAAATCCAGCAGATTAGACCGTTGCAGAGCTAGATGGTCTTTCATAAATAACTATTTTACTGTGGCACTTGAGGCGCCTCTTTACGCTGTAAAAAACTCTTTGCTATCGGCACCGAGGAGAATGCAGACGACTCTCTCGAAATTTACTCGTACGTTGTTTACATCGACGACATATTAACATGGACGAAGTCACAAAGGTTACAATATAAAGGCCATGTAGTTTTCTCCATTTTGGAAGTATCATAGTCAGATGCAGAGGGGGGGAGGGGCTTAGCTCATGCCTGGTGTGTATGATATACGAACACCCATGTTCCTAGGAAGCTGTTTTCGTCCTTGTAGCAGTTGCACTGTGGCTTTGATTTGGAGGGCTGTGAGGTCGTGTACAACGGCATGGTATGCAAGATCTTTTGGTGCGGAGTTTCTCGTTGAGGTTTGCGGGGTTTGCGGTAGAGGGAGGGCTAGGTTCTGTATGGGACGGCGACTCTTTTGTGTTCGTGAACTGGGCTCTTGAGTGCAAGGTCGTGGTAGTTCTGGCTGCGTGCGGGTGGTCGCTGAAGTAGTCCAATTCGTAGACTCGCTACCGACAATGTTTTGTAGCCTGGCTGTGATTCCTCAAGATGCATGTGGGTGCTATGTTTGATAATAAGACATAAACTTCAGCTGTTCTTTCAGATTACTATGTGGGCTTAACAGGATTTGTTCTTTGCGAGCCCTAAAAGCTTAACGGGCATTTGAGTTCATATTTCGGGACCAGACCGAGACGGATTTGCTTGTTCGGCTGAGTATCCTCTCTATCAACCAGCGAATTCTGAAGGTATGAGCTGAGGGATTTCCCTCTCTTGCTATCTTGGTCGTAAAGCTTGGTCCGGGTCGACCATCGGTAGTTGTACATGTGTACCATTGGCCACGGACGACGGAAGCGAGGGCGGATTAGTGCCTGACATGCGCAGACTGGCTGCATGTGCCATAGGCACGTGGATGAATCGTTAGTGAGACCTAGGATCAGGGCAAGTGGCGACAAGGAGATCTGACATGCGCGAGGACAATTTCATGGGGTCTGAAATATGGGTAGGATAGGATGAGATGAGATGGATTAGTCTCTATTGTACACCACAAGCAGTCGTAGTAAGGTCCGGATCTAAGGCAGTCCTCCGATGAGGCGAAACTAGCGAATTTCTGATTACCGTCTGACTTGGATATCTGTGGCGACAGACTTCGGATGGTAACTGATGTGAGGCTTTCTGGCTGTTCTGTCTGTTCAAGACATGGCATCGTATTTTCAGGGAGTTGTGCTTTGCGATGTTCCAGTAGAGTCATGGCGTTACATGAGCACGAAACGAAAACGAACCGAATCAGGATATTAAAGGCGAGAAAATCATCTGGGTATGGAGCCCGACGAATGGTGTTGTAGATTCATAGGTGGCTATTCCGGACAGTCAGACAGTATCTCTCGTACGGACGCTGGGGAAGTATAGCGGCGGCTTAGTCCTGCATCGGATTTAGGGGTCCATCAATGAGCGCGCATCTCACGAACACATTCCGAATCAGTACTCTGGATCACTGGGTAGGCTCACAACAGCTTCCCAAGCACTCGGTCAGAGTTTATTTTCACTAGCTGTTAGCAAGGCGAATAAGCAACAAGGCAGACACGTGGGACCCTGGGAAAAGTAAATCAGCAGAAGTGACTTGCAGTAGCCGCAAAGGCCTTGCATAATAGGCCCCAGCCGAGCCATGAGGGTTTCAGCGAATCCTGCCGAAACCGAAGTCAGGCGTGTGGAGAGTCTGCCTTGAGATAATCTTTGCATGGCCATGATCCGTGATGTGGTGATCAAAGGTGGCATCCGTGAGGCCTCTCATTCCGAGAGAGCTTCTCATGGTGTTTGGCATGCAGACGGAGCGCTTCGTACGAAGGCTTCGGCCACCAAGCGAAAGCAAAGTGGAGATGCAGGGCATAGCGCGGCATCCTGATAAGAATCACAGATCTGACAACTTCTCTCCATGGAGGCGAGATCTTCCAAGATTCTCGGGAGCGCAGTCAGCCCCGCGGATGCGGTAGCCACGAGTCGGATGAGCAGATGCAGAGGTCTGGAGAAGAGGATCGAAACACTCTCGAGCTCAGTGTCATGATGAAGAGTTTTCTTCGCGATTCGATCAGGGCGAGACAGCTAGATGAGCAGGTTGCGCTGTGACGGGAATGGCGCCAGGCCAGATGCTGCGGGTCGAATAATGGGGTTCTTGAAGAGAACGACTTGGCAGCATGGTGTCTTGAACGTGCTTACACACTGCTGTGCAATCGAAGTCGCTGTTCCGGATAGCTGCTGCGAGGGAGCTGCGAGGGAGCTGCAGTCATCCTGACAGGCACCTAAGTTACTGCCAGGCGAGAGGAACGAACGGCGGCGGACTTAGGGACAGGCGGCCTCGTGCGAGACTCCCGACGTGTGGGATGTTCCGAAGGGCCAGTGGTCAATTATAGACAAGAGGTCCGTTAGCGACGACGGTCGACCGGGTTGATGTGTGGTGGAGGTGGTGGAGGTGGTGAGAGGCTCTGCTTGAGTTTGGAGGTTTTGTCGGTGTTGGACTTGGGCTCCTGGCTGCCGGACTTGCGCCATCGGCTCTCCGCATCGCGCTAGCCTCAATCGGTAATCGGTCGGGGTTTGCTCAGCGCGCCTCAACGCCTCAACACCCTCGCACTTCATCCCTCTCACCAACCCCCGTGTGTTGGCCCGCAACTCCCATCCAGGTTACACACCCACGCGCTCTGCTTCGTCTGCCTCCTGCACCCGTCCTGCACGCCGTTCCGCCCATTGAAGTACCCGCATTGTCGTACCCCGCCAAGCTCACGTTCTGATGTATTCCTTTGCACGCGGACGACAAAAGCACTTCTGCGCCGGTCCGACTCGCCTGACTGACTCCTGAGCGTGTAAATAACACGAGCATCGGCTGCGGAAAGTGAGAAAGAGCCAGGGGACGCCCGAGCTGCTGGGTTGAAACAGAGCTGTCACACCTCTTTGCGCTGCTCCAGCCCGTGATATCCCAGGATCCGCTGCCATGGCGAGGACAGATGGAGCAGTACGGCCGCCCATGCTGGACTCGGCGACATTGGCAGGCTTCTTTTGATGTCGAGCATGGCCGATCTCTGATGTCGGACTTCGGACGGCGGGGCCCATGCTTGCTCGCGAGGCCTGGCATACTGGCCGACATGCCCTCAGCAGGCCTAGTCAGATATTGAACCTGCCCGCAATGGTGCGACTGCTGGCGCTGTCGCCGAGCAAAGAAACTGCTGCGCCCCTGTGTGGTCAGAGTCGCATCTCAGCCTTTCTGGAAGCATGCCGGATAATCCGAACCACGGTGCTGGTGACGATATTTATACTCTGCACCCACCTGTTTGCTGCTAACGGACCCTCATTGCGTTTGACATTTCACGTCACTTTCGTACCCGCCCCCAACGGCATCTGCCTAGCATCCTGAAAATCCTTGGCAACCTCATAAGGGACCGACTTGTGATATCCCCACTGTCCTCATCATGGCTTTTCTTACATTCCTTTCCGCCGTTGCCGTGGCCGTGATTGCTCTTGTTCTCAAACTCACGGTCTTCGCACCCAAGCAAAGAATACCAAAGGGTCTCAAACCTCTTCCAGGTCCCAAGGGTTCGTAATCAACTTTACTGAAGATCATCTCATGGCTTCATGGTTCTCATTTACTCATCTCATCAGGTTACCCTATACTTGGTTCCGTACCAGAGGTGCCGGAACAAAACAGCCATATCAAGTTCTTCGAATGGGGAAAGCAATACGGTCCGATATACCAATGTGATCTAGCCGGCACCAACCATGTCTGGATATCAACGGACCGCATCGCGCGTGACGTTCTTTCCAAGAAGGCTGCAGTCAACTCAGATAGACCACACATTCCCGCCCTCCTTCACGATAACAGGACCAGCGCTGAATATCTTCCGCTCATGAGCAAAAACCGTAAGATAGACTCATGCCCTCTTTTGTTCAGACTACTAATCCATGACAGCCCACTGGACGAGACAGAGAAAGGTTGCCGGCCACATAATGAGAGAATCTGCTTCGCATAAGTTCTACCGCTACCCAGAACTGGAGTCCATCCGACTGTTGCAGGAAATGCTTGATGAGCCTTCACAATACAACCACGCGCTCGAATCGTTCATCTCAAGGGTGACCTGTCGTCTGGCTTGGGGTCATGCCGAAGCCAGTGAAGAGCTGAAGCAAAGAGCACGCGAGCTTCTGATTGGCGTGTCGCCGACTGGCGCCCTCGGAAACAAAATTCCATTCGTTATGGGTCTTCCCGACTGGCTATCTCCAGCAAAGGCATGGGAGCGCAGGCGCCAACGGACCGAGCGCAAGTACTTCGAGATTATGCAAGAGCAGGTCCGGAGAGAGATGAACGAGAAGCATGCTCCGCAGTCATGGATGAGGACTTTGCTGGAGACGTGGTCCAAATGGGACTTCAGCTACGACCTGGAGGCCGCTTTCTGTGTCGGTATGCACGGCATCGCTGGAGCTTTGACGGTCGCGGCACCGATGCAGACGTTCTGCCTCGCCATGTGCTATTATCCTCAGTTTCTTCCCATCCTCCACGAGGAACTCGACAGAGTCTGCGGTGATCGCTTGCCCAGAGCGGAGGATCGACCGAATTTACCGGTGCTGCGCGCTTTCATCCGAGAGTGTTTGCGCTGGCGTCCTCCTGTACCGACTGGTATGATATATTTGTGGTTGAACGGCTTTAGTTTGACTGACATATATCAGGCATTCCTCACTGCTCAACTCAAGACGACGAGTACGAAGGC